AGCAGGTTTAGGCTGCAGTGGCCGGGAGCAGCCACTGCACTCCAGTCTGGGTGACAGAGTGAGACTCCAACTCAAAAAAAAAAAAAGAAAAAAAGTAGGCTGGATAAAAAAAATGTGGTACATATACATGATGGAATATTACACAGTCAAAAAGAAGGACAAAATTATGAACTTCGTAGCAACTTGCATGGATATAAAGTCTGTAATACTCAGTGATCTATCACAGAAACAAAGTACTGAGTACCACATATTCTCACTCATAAACGGACCCTGAACGATTGTCATAATACTATAAGAAAAGGATTGGCAGTAGTGGGACACTGCCGGGGGGTGGGGGGGGAGTACTCTTCATCGAAAAGCGTACCTGATCTCAAACTAGGTGAAGTGGGGACCAAAGTGAGGCCCAAACTTTACCTGTACAATGACCATTTGTATACCTAACCCTGAACTGTATCCCACAACTTTAAAATAAAAATTAAAAATAAAGAAAGGAAAAAAAGTGTTCAAAAAACCAAGGAAGCCCCATTTGGCTAAAATGTAGTGAAAATGAGAGTTGTTTAAGATAAAATTGATTTGGTAGACAGGATTTAGTTTTATTTTTTAAATTTAACTTTACTATTTCTCCTTATGATTACTTCCAATCAAGTTTAATTGTTCTTACATATTTTTACATTATTGTTTCTATTTTTGTCTTAGAGTAGTCAAACTACTTAATTTCATTAGATTTCTATATTTCTCTTTGATTATTTTCTTTCTTTTTTTTAATTAGTTCTTCCATTCTAGGAGTAATTCTGCTTAGTTATTTTTCTTTTTTTCTTTTTCTTTTTTTTGAGTTGGAGTCTCACTCTGTCACCCAGACTGAAGTGTAGTGGCATAATCACAACTATCATGGCTTACAGCATCCTTGACCTCCTGGGTTCAGGCAATCTTTCCAAACCAGCATCCCAAGTAGCACGCACCATCATGCCCAGGTAATTTTTTTTTTTTTTTTAGAGATGAGGTTACTCTCTGTTGCCCAGGTTGGTCTCAAACTCCCAGGTACAAGCAATCAGGCTGCCTCAGCCTTCCAGAGTGCTAGGATTACAGGCATGAACCTTCACACCCAGCTGTTAAAGTTGTGTGTACATTACTCTAAAACAAATGCTAAATAGCAAAAAACTTAATCATCTACAGTTTTCTTCATTAAAAATAAAGCGCACAATCCAGTTGATTTTAGCGAAATGATTAAGTGTTTTCATATGTGGGAAGAAAACAAGAGTTACTTTGTCTACAAAGTTGATATCACTCCTTTACCACAGGAAATTCAGAGGAAATCCCATGGCAATACCGCATAGTTTTTTCCTTCTACATGCTAGTGTGGTCTAGAAAAACAACAGGCACTTACAAGAATTTCTTTCTCTTTTTTTTTTTTTTGAGTTGGAGTCTCACTCTGTCTCCCAGGCTGGAGTGCAGTGGCCAACTCACAGCCACTGCAACCTCAACCTGCTAGGCTTAGGAGATCCTTCCACCTCAGCCTTCCAAAGTAACTGGAACTACAGACACATGCCACCACACCTGGCTAGTTTTTGTGATTTACTGTAGAGACGAAGTCTCACCAAGTTGTCCAGGTTGGTGTCGAACTCCCGGGCTCAGACAATCCTCTCACCTTGGCCTTCCAAAGTACTGGGATTACAGGCTGAGACACCGTGCCCAGCCACTTACAGGAATTTCTGAAGATGTTTTATGGATGTTCTGAAAGTGCTTTCATGAGTGTGGGAAACTGACAGTTATTTTCCTCTGACTGAAACAGAATGGCCAATCTTACAAAGTTCTGCACGAGAAAAATCTTTATGCTTAAAATACCACAAATGAGAATTCACAATCTAACATGAGGCTGTTAAGATTAGTTCAATGATCTTGATTATTAGGTATTTGCTTCCCTTCATTCCCAATTTGAAATGTTAATATATTATAATTTAGCTACCATTTATTTTGTATTAAAACTTAATAAAAGATTATCCCAGAATCAAAAATAAAAATAGACCTAGAAACTAATATGCAAGCTCAATTTTGATTCATTTTGACAAAAATTATTAACAAAGAATCTTATAAACACTCCTACCGTTGAAAGAAAGGTATCCTTCTATATTTTCTTCTATTACCTATATAGTTTTACCTTTCATATTTAGATTTTCATCACTCTAGGGCCCACCTTTATATGTGGCTTTAGATACAGATAGTTTTATTTTCCTATATGCAGTAATCCAGTTTTCTCAACACAATCTGCTTAAAAGTTTGTCTTCTCCCTACTAACTTGTGGAAAAATGATTTTCAGTCCCACTTAATGATCTAAGCAGAGGCAGGGGGAAAAGAAATTAAAAAGAAAAAGATAAAAGAAAAAAGAAACAGGTGCATATAGGATTAGTATAACAGCTTAACTAAGAAAGGGCTATGAATAAATGAAGCTAATTTCAAATTTCTGTGTCCCAGTCATATTTATTGAAGCTTATAAGAAGTAAATGGCAGCCGGGCTCGGTGGCTCAGCCTGTAATCCCGTGCCTTTGGGAGGCTGAGGTGAGTGGATTGCCTTAGCCCGCAGGTTCAAGACCCACCTGGGCAGCGAGACCTTATCTCTACAATAAATCAAAAAAAATCCACCGGGCGGGGTAGCGCATGCCTGTAATTCCAGCTACTTTGAAGGTGGAGGCGGAAGCACCGCTGGAGCCCAGGAGGTTGAGGCTACGGTGGCTGGAGTGGCCACTACACTCCAGTCTGGGCGACAGAGTGAGACTCCAACTCAAAAAAAAAAAAAAAAAAGAAGAAGTAAATGGCAAAGGATAACTAAATACCTATTTTTTAAATGTATATGCCCTAAAAGCTATTCAAGAAACACTTTAATTACCTGATACATAATACCTGATACAAGGAAAAGGTTTCCAGAGGTTAGACTACATTCTACTAATCAGTAAGTTGGCTTGCATTTTTCTTCTTTAGTCAGTACAAAAATGATGGCAAAACAGAGACATTGTAAGCATCCTGAAAAATATTTTACAAACTTTCATTTCTTGAAAAACGGGAGTTGGGCTCGATGGCTCAGCCTATAATCCCACGCTTTGGGAGGCTGAGGTGAGTGGATTGCCTGAGCCCGCGGGTTCGAGCCCGCCTGGGCAACTTGGCAAGACCTCATCTCTACAATAAATCAAAAATTAGCCAGGCGTGGTAGAGTGTGCCTGTAGTTCCAGCTACTTGGAAGGCTAAGGCGGAAGGATCGCCAGAGCCCAGCAGGTCGAGGCTGCGGTGGCCGGGAGCGGCCACTGCACTCCAGTCTGGGCAACAGAGTGAGACTCCAACTCAAAAAAAAAAAAAAGGAAAAACAGGAATTCTCAGATGACTCTGAAGCATCTCATTTCTTTGATTAGTTGAGCACCTTCATTAGATTTTAAAAGCATGAATTATTGAATTCATAACTCTTCATCCCACTACTCAAAGTGAACTAGAAAATGTAAACAATTCTCCATAAGAAAATTCTAAAAGCATACCTTTTATTTTCAGCCAAATTGGCTCCTTCATCCTTCAGTTGTTTACTTTTCTCAGCACAGTCTTCAAGGAGAATTTCTTTCCTACGTTTAATGGCATGAAGCCAGTTCCCTTCATCATTGTCACTTACATCCTTCTCATCAGCAGCTTCAGCTTCAAACTGCTGGGAAGTGACCTTTGAAACCTTCTCACCAATTTTCCTCTTCCACCCAAAGGAAGCCATTCTGGAAAATTACAAAGAAATAGGTTTAAAATTCAAACTTGGTCTTTTCTAGAAGTATTTCAACTAATAGGTAAAGAAGTAATAATAGAAGTAGACTTTCATCAGTTTTTAAACCCCTAAGTAGTGGATCTTGGCAATAATCATCAATGACCACTATCATGAAGAAATACAACCGAACATCACATAACTCTTAATGGAAGTGGCAGACCACCCATGAAGGGTGGTAAAATATAGTCAAGAATGCTCAATAACACAAAAGAGATGAAGATAGCCAAAAACAGAAACTAAAGAAGAATAAATCTGGTTTCTTTTTTCTTTTGAAACAGGGAGGGTCTCACTATAATCACTATAATGCCCAGGTATATCTTGAACTCCTGGGCTCAAGTAATTCTATTGCCTCAGCTTCCCAAAGCACTGGATTATAGGTATAAGCCATTGCATCTGGCCACACTAGTTTCTTCAAGAAATGAACTGCCAAAAAAGAGAGAGAGAGAGAGAGACAGAGAAGAAAAACATGAGAGGTAACTCCTAGATTAAGAGAGACTTAAGAGACATACTAACCAAACACAATGTGTGGATCTTGTTTCACTGTTGATTCATTAATTAGCCAATGCGGAGGAAACATTTACAAAATAGGTTAAATCAGAATACTGATCTGACATTCAATGATATTGAAGACTTACTGCTATATTCCTTTAGGTGTGAGAGAAATATTATGATTATGCTTATAAAAAGAATGCTTATCTTTTAGGAATACACACTGAAATACTTCATATGAAATTATATATCTCTAGGAATTGTTTCAAAGTAATCAGTGGGGGCTGGGAGTGCAGTGAAGGGGAAAATACAGATTAAATAAAATAGCTTTGAATTGAAAATGAAGTTGGGTGATGAGTACATAGGGTTTATTGTACTTTCCTCTCTCCTTTTATATATGTTGAAATTTTCCATAATAAAAAGGTTTTAAGAGATTCAAACTTGGTAAATGACTTAATTCACAATATTAAATAATTTTTTTAAATACAAATATGTAACTCCTCTGTAAATCTTCAGTGATACACAAAAGTAAAGGATAAAAAAGACAGTAGCCTGTAATCCCAGCACTTTGGAAGACGGAGGCGAGAGGATTGCCAGAGTCCAGGGTTTTGAGACCTCATCCTTACAATAAATCAAAAATTAAGCCGGGCTTGGTGGCTCGGCCTGTAATCCTGCACCTTTGGGAGGCTGAGGTGAGTGGATTGCCTGAGCCCGCAGGTTCAAGACCCGCCTGGGCAGCGAGACCTCATCTCTACAATAAATCAAAAAATCAGCCGGGCATGGTAGCACTTGCCTGTAATTCTGGCTACTTGGAAGGCTGAGGTGGAAGGATCGCCGGAGTCCAGCAGGTCGAGGCTGCAGTGGCCGGGAGCGGCCACTGCACTCCAGTCTGGGCAACAGAGTGAGACTCCAACTCAAAAAAAAAAAAAAATTAGCCAGGCATGGCGACACAAGCCTGTGGTTCCAACTACTTGGAAGAATCACCTAAGCCAAGTAGGTTGAGGTCACAGTGGCCGTGAGCTTGCCACTGCAATCCAGCCCGGGCGACAGAGTAAGATTCCAATGTAAAAAAAGAAAAAAGAAAAGAGAGAGAGAGGATAACTAATAGAGCAAAGTCAAAGGAAATCCTGAAATAATTCAACAAATATTTATTTAGAGTAGGGATTAAATGAGAGATCCAAGAATTTACTAGTCACATAAATAGACTTTAAGATGATGAGGCCGGGCTCGGTGGCGCAGCCTGTAATCCTGTGCCTTTGGGAGGCTGAGGTGAGTGGATTGCCTGAGCCCGCAGGTTCGAGACCCACCTGGGCAACTTGGTGAGACCTCATCTCTACAATAAATCAAAAATTAGCCAGGCTACTGGTAGTGCATGCCTGTAGTTCCAGCTACTTGGAAGACTGAGGTGTAAGGATCGCCGGAGCCCAGCAGGTCGAGGCTGGGTGGCCGGGAGCGGCCACTGAACTCCAGCCTGGGCAACAGAGTGAGACTCCAACTCAAAAAAAAAAAAAAAAAGATGATGAGAAACCCATGAAAATTAGGTATAAATCACATGACATTTTTTAATGCCTGGGGGCATTCTGAAGAAAAGTATCTAAGCTTTCATTCCATTTTTTAAAGGAGTCATAATCCCAAGGAGATCATGATCAACTGATCAACTGGAGAAGGGGAAGCAATGAACCCTTAAAAATCTTTTTGAAACTACCAAAGAATGGACATCAAATCTTTTTGAAACTACCAAAGAATGGACATCAAATCTTTTTAAAACTACCAAAGAATGGACATTGTTGGGGTAAGGGAGAATGAGGAAGGAGAATAAGGAACTTATTCAATAATGAACAAGTTCCAGCAGCTGTCAAGGTTTTCATCATTGATGCACATAGCTGAAGTGCAGTTTAAGTACTGGCCTTACCTCAGATATGTTGTAGATTCTGTTCCAGATCACCACAGTAAAGTGAATAACATCATAAGGCGAGTCACACAATTTTTTTTTAATAATACCATAAAGCAAGTCACGCAGTTTTCTTGGTCTTCCCATACATATGGGAAGTTATGTTTATACTGTACTGTTATCTATTAAGTGTGTTATACCATTATGTCTAAAAAAAGAACATGCCTTAATTTAAAATTATTTTATTACTAAAAATATGCCAACCATCATCTGAACCTTCAGCAAGTCATAATGTTTTTGCTAGTGGAGGGTTTTTCCTTGATATTGATGGCTTCTGACTAATCAGGGTGGTTACAGAAGGTTGAGGTGGCTGTGGCAATTTCTTAAAATAAGAAAACAATGAAGTTTGCTGCATCAACTGACTTCCTTTCATTAAAAAATGTCTCTGTAACGTAAAATGCTAGCATTTCACTCACAGTAGAATGTCGTTCAAAACCGGAGTCGCTAGTCTCAAACCTTGCCACTGCTTTATCAACTAGGTTTAGATAATGCATACTTTTTTTTTTTTGAGTTGGAGTCTCACTCTGTCACCCAGGTTGGAATGCAGTGGCACACTCACAGTCACCCCAGCACTGACCTGCTGGGCTCTGGCAATCCTTCTGCCTCAGCCTTCCAAGTAGCCGGAACTACAGGTGTGCACTACCACAACCCGCCCCTGGCTAATTTTTTATTTATTGTAGAGATGAGGTCTCACCAAGTTGCCTGGGCTGGTCTCGAACCCATGGGCTCAGGTAGGTAATGTATTCTAAATCCTTTGTTATCATTTCTACAATGTTCACAGTATCTTCACCAGAAGTAGATTCCTTCTCAAGAAGTCAATTCTTTGTTCATCCTTAAGAAGCAACTCCTCACTCTTTCAAATTTTATCATGAGATTGTAGCAATTCTGTCATATCTTCAAATTTCAATTGCAATTCTAGTTATCTTGCTATTTCTACCACATGTGCAGTTACTTCCTCCACTGAAGTCTTGAACCCCTCAAAGTCATCCATGAGGGTTGGAATCACCTTTCTTTTTTAATTATTTTTTTTGTTGGAGTCACACTCTTGCCCAGGCTGGGCTGCAGTGGCATGTTCATGGCCACCGCAGTCTTTATTTCCTGGGCACAGGTGATCCTTCTGCCTCAGTCTTCCAAATAGCTGGAACCACAGGTGTGTGCCACCATGCACGGCTAATTTTTTGATTTATTGTAGAGACAAGGTCTCACCATGTTGCCCAGGCTGGTCTTGAATCCATGGGCTCAGGCTCCCAAAGTGCTGTGATTACAGGCATGAGCCACTGAGCCTATCTTGGAATCAACTTATTTCCACACTTCTGGTAATGCTGATATTGTGATGTCCTCCCATGAATCACAAATATTCTTTTTTTTTTTTTGAGTTGGAGTCTCATTCTGTTGCCCAGGCTGGAGTGCAGTGGCATGCTCACAGCCACCGCAGCCTCAACCTGCTGGGCTCAGGCAATCCTTCCACCTCAACCTTCCAAGTAGCTGGAACTACAGGCATGCGCCATCAAGCCCGGCTAATTCTTCTCGATTTATTGCAGAGATGAGGTCTCGCCAAGTTGCCTAGGCTGGTCTTGATCCCATGAGCTCAGGCAATCCTCTCACCTTGGCCTCCCAAAGTGCTGGGATTATAGGCATAAGCCACTGCGCCTGGCTCACTAATATTCTTAATGGCACCTAGAACGGTGAATCCTTTTCAGAAGATTTTCAATTTACTTTGCCCAGGTTCATCACAGGAATCACTACTTAAAGCAGCTACAGCTTTACAAAATGCATTTCTTAAATAATAAGACTTCAAAATCAAAATTACTGTTTGAACCATGGACTGCAGAATGGACTGCAGTTGTGTTGGAGGGTATGAAAGCATTCATCTCCTTGTACATCTCCATCAGAACTCTTTGACGACTAGATGTACTGTCAATGAGCAGCAACATTTTGGAAGGAATCTTTTTTTCCTGAGCTGGTCTCAACAGTGGGCTTAAAATAGTTAGTAAATCATGTTCTAAACAGATGTCCTGTCATCCACACTTTGTAGTTCCACTTATAAAGCCCATGCAGAGTACATTTAGAATAATTCTTAAGGGCACTAGAATTTTGAAATGGTAAATAAACAATGGCTTCAGCTTGAAGTTCCCAGCTACATTAGCCCATCACAAAGGGAGTAAGCCTGTCCTTTAAAGAGCTAAGCCAGGCATTCTCTAGCTATGAAAGTCCTAGATAGCATCTTCTTCCAATATAAGCCTATTTCATCTACATTGAAAACAGTAAGCCAGACTTGGTGGCTCAGCCTGTAATCCCGCGCCTTTGGGAGGCTGAGGTGAGTGAA